ACCATCGCCATAATCACCACCATTACAATCACCATCCAACCCAACCTCCACCCCCCCCCCCCCCCCCCCAGAACGACCACCACCTCCGGCCCTTCTCACCGTCGGTGTGCCACCACCACCCCAACAACCACCACTACTGCCACCACTACTGCCACCACCCCAACAACCACCACTACCACCACTACTGCCACCACTACCACCACCACCACTACTGCCACCACCCCAACAACCACCACCACCACCACTACTGCCACCACCCCAACAACCACCACTACTGCCACCACTACTGCCACCACCCCAACAACCACCACTACCACCACTACTGCCACCACTACCACCACCACCACTACTGCCACCACCCCAACAACCACCACCACTACTGCCACCACCCCAACAACCACCACTACTGCCACCACTACTGCCACCACCCCAACAACCACCACTACCACCACTACTGCCACCACTACCACCACCACCACCACCACCACTACTGCCACCACCCCAACAACCACCACCACCACCACTACTGCCACCACCCCAACAACCACCACTACTGCCACCACTACTGCCACCACCCCAACAACCACCACTACCACCACTACTGCCACCACTACCACCACCACCACCACCACTGCTGCCACCACCCCAACAACCACCACCACTACTGCCACCACCCCAACAACCACCACCACTACTGCCACCACCCCAACAACCACCACTACCACCACTACTGCCACCACCCCAACAACCACCACTACCACCACCACCACTACTGCCACCACCCCAACAACCACCACCACTACTGCCACCACCCCAACAACCACCACTACCACCACTACTGCCACCACCCCAACAACTACCACCACTACTGCCACCACCCCAACAACCACCACTACCACCACTACTGCCACCACCCCAACAACCACCACCACTACTGCCACCACCCCAACAACCACCACTACCACCACTACTGCCACCACCCAACAACTACCACCACTACTGCCCACCACCCCAACAACCCACCACTACCACCACTACTGCCACCACACCAACAACCACCACCACCACCACTACGGCCACCACCCCAAACAACCACCACCTACTGCCACCACTACTGCCACCACCCCAACAACCACCACTAACCACCACTACTTGCCACCACTACCACCACCACCACCACCACTACATGCCACCACCCCAACAACCACCACCACCACTACTGCCACCACCCCACCCAACCACCACTACTGCCACCACCCCAACAACCACCACTACCACCACCACCACTACTGCCACCACCCCAACAACCACCACTACCACCACCACTACTGCCACCACCCCAACAACCACCACACTTACTGCCACCACCCCAACAACCACCACTACCACCACTACTGCCTACCACCCAACAACCACACTACCACCACTACTGCCACCACCCCAACAACCACCACTACCACCACCACCACTACTGCCACCACCCCAACAACCACCACTACCACCACCACCACTACTGCCACCACCCCAACAACCACCACTACCACCACTACTGCCACCACCCCAACAACCACCACTACCACCACCACCACTACTGCCACCACCCCAACAACCACCACTACTGCCACCACCCCAACAACCACCACTACCACCACTACTGCCACCACATACCACCACCCACCACCACCACTACTGCCACCACCCCAACAAACCACCACCACTACTGCCACCACCCAACAACCACCAACTACGCCACCACCCCAACAACCACCGCTACCACCACCACCACTACTGCCACCACCCCAACAACCACCACTACCACCACCACTACTGCCACCACCCCAACAACCACCACCACTACTGCCACCACCCCAACAACCACCACTACCACCACTACTGCCACCACCCCAACAACCACCACTACCACCACTACTGCCACCACTCCCACCACCACCACCACCACTACTGCCACCACCCCAACAAACCACCACCACCACCACTACTGCCACCACCCCAACAACCACCACCACTACTGCACCACCCCAACAACCACCACTACCACCCACTACTGCCACCACCCCAACACTACCACCACTACCACCACCACCACTACTGCCACCACCCCAACAACCACCACCACTACTGCCACCACCCCAACAACCACCACCACTACTGCCACCACCCCAACAACCACCACCACTACTGCCACCACCCCAACAACCACCACTACCACACTACTGCCACCACCCCAACAACCACCACCACCCCACTACTGCCACCACCCCAACAACCACCCTACTACCACCACTACTGCCACCACCCCAACACACCACTACCACCACTACTGCCACCACTACCACCACCTACCACCACTACTGCCACCACCCCAACAACCACCACACCACCTACTGCCACCACCCCAACAACCACCACTACTGCCACCACTACTGCCACCACCCAACAACCACCACTACCACCACTACTGCCACCACTACCACACCACCACCACCACTACTGCCACCACCCCAACAACCACCACCACCACCACTACTGCCACCACCCCAACAACCACCACTACTGCCACCACCCCAACAACCACCACTACTGCCACCACCACCACCACTACTGCCACCACCCCAACAACCACCACCACTACTGCCACCACCCCAACAACCACCACCACTACTGCCACCACCCCAACAACCACCACTACCACCACTACTGCCACCACCCCAACAACCACCACTACCACCACCACCACTACTGCCACCACCCCAACAACCACCACCACTACTGCCACCACCCCAACAACCACCACTACCACCACTACTGCCACCACCCCAACAACTACCACCACTACTGCCACCACCCCAACAACCACCACTACCACCACTACTGCCACCACCCCAACAACCACCACCACTACTGCCACCACCCCAACAACCACCACTACTGCCACCACTACTGCCACCACCCCAACAACCACCACTACCACCACTATTGCCACCACTACCACCACCACCACTACTGCCACCACCCCAACAACCACCACCACCACCACTACTGCCACCACCCCAACAACCACCACCACTACTGCCACCACCCCAACAACCACCACTACCACCACTACTGCCACCACCCCAACAACCACCACTACCACCACCACCACTACTGCCACCACCCCAACAACCACCACCACTACTGCCACCACCCCAACAACCACCACTACCACCACCACCACTACTGCCACCACCCCAACAACCACCACTACCACCACTACTGCCACCACCCCAACAACCACCACCACTACTGCCACCACCCCAACAACCACCACTACCACCACTACTGCCACCACCCCAACAACTACCACCACTACTGCCACCACCCCAACAACCACCACTACCACCACTACTGCCACCACCCCAACAACCACCACCACCACCACTACTGCCACCACCCCAACAACCACCACTACTGCCACCACTACTGCCACCACCCCAACAACCACCACTACCACCACTACTGCCACCACTACCACCACCACCACTACTGCCACCACCCCAACAACCACCACCACCACTACTGCCACCACCCCAACAACCACCACTACTGCCACCACCCCAACAACCACCACTACCACCACCACCACTACTGCCACCACCCCAACAACCACCACTACCACCACCACTACTGCCACCACCCCAACAACCACCACCACTACTGCCACCACCCCAACAACCACCACTACCACCACTACTGCCACCACCCCAACAACCATCACTACCACCACTACTGCCACCACCCCAACAACCACCACTACCACCACCACCACTACTGCCACCACCCCAACAACCACCACTACCACCACCACCACTACTGCCACCACCCCAACAACCACCACTACCACCACCACCACTACTGCCACCACCCCAACAACCACCACTACTGCCACCACCCCAACAACCACCACTACCACCACTACTGCCACCACTACCACCACCACCACCACCACTACTGCCACCACCCCAACAACCACCACCACCACCACTACTGCCACCACCCCAACAACCACCACTACTGCCACCACTACTGCCACCACCCCAACAACCACCACTACCACCACTACTGCCACCACTACCACCACCACCACCACCACTACTGCCACCACCCCAACAACCACCACCACCACCACTACTGCCACCACCCCAACAACCACCACTACCACCACTACTGCCACCACCCCAACAACCACCACTACCACCACCACCACTACTGCCACCACCCCAACAACCACCACTACCACCACCACTACTGCCACCACCCCAACAACCACCACCACTACTGCCACCACCCCAACAACCACCACTACCACCACTACTGCCACCACCCCAACAACCACCACTACCACCACTACTGCCACCACCCCAACAACCACCACTACCACCACCACCACTACTGCCACCACCCCAACAACCACCACTACCACCACCACCACTACTGCCACCACCCCAACAACCACCACTACCACCACTACTGCCACCACCCCAACAACCACCACTACCACCACTACTGCCACCACCCCAACAACCACCACTACCACCACCACCACTACTGCCACCACCCCAACAACCACCACCACTACCACCACGACCACCGCCACCACCACTACTGCCACCACCCCAACAACCACCACCACCCCAACCATGACCACCACCACACCCATCACTACCGCCACAACTACCACCACCCCGACCACTACCGCCACCGCCCCAACCAGGACCACCACTACCGCCACCACCACCCCTACCACCGCACACCACCCCTACCACCGCACACCACCACTACCGCCACCCCAACCAGGACCACCACCCCGCCCATCACTACCGCCACAACTACCACCACCCCGACCACTACCGCCACCGCCCCAACAACCACCACTACCACCACCACTACCAACACCACCACCACCACCACCACTCCTACCAGCAATCCAACCGCTACACCACCACCCCACCTCCCAAACAACCACCGGCACCCCTCACCCACCCTCCTCACCGTCGGCACGCCTCACGTCCGCGCTGATCACCGTGCGGCGGAAGCCGACGACGCCGTTGGCCACGTCCATCTTGCACAGGTTGCGGAAGTCGTGGCTGCCCACGAGGCCCAGGGCGGCCGCCCTCATGGCCACGATGTCCAGGCGCCCGCGAGGGAACCAGTAGCGGTAGCGGCGGCGGCTGCAGTCGAAACGCGCGCTGAAGCCAGCCTCAACGGGGGCCCAGCACAGCACGCGGATGTCACGCGGGAGGACCTGGTGATGGCGGTGGTGGGGTTAGTGGTGGTGGTGGTGGGGTTAGTGGTGGTGGTGGTAGGGTTAGTGTTGGTGGTGGTGGGCTTAGTGGTGGTGGTAGGGTTAGTGGTGGTGGTAGGGTTAGTGGTGGTAGGGTTAGTGGTGGTGGTGGTAGGGTTAGTGGTGGTGGTAGGGTTGGTGGTGGTGGTAGGGTTAGTGTTGGTGGTAGGGTTAGTGGTGGTGTTGGTGGTAGGGTTAGTGGTGGTAGTGGTGGTGGTAGGGTTAGTGGTGGTGGTAGGGTTAGTGGTGGTGGTAGGGTTAGGGGTGGTGGTGGTGGTGGTAGGGTTAGGGGTGGTGGTGGTAGGGTTAGTGGTGGTGGTGGTGGTAGGGTTAGTGGTGGTGGTAGGGTTAGTGGTGTTGGTGGTGGTAGGGTTAGTGGTGGTGGTAGGGTTAGTGGTGGTGGTGGTAGGGTTAGTGGTGGTGGTGGTAGGGTTAGTGGTGGTGATGGTGGTAGGGTTAGGGGTGGTGGTGGTGGTGGTGGTGGTAGGGTTAGTGGTGGTGGTGGTAGGGTTAGTGTTAGTGGTGGTAGGGTTGGTGATGGTGGTAGGGTTGGTGGTGGTAGGGTTAGTGGTGGTGGTAGGTTTTAGGGGTGGTGGTGGTGGTAGGGTTAGTGGTGGTGGTGGTAGGGTTAGTGGTGGTGGTAGGGTTTGAGGTGGTGGTGGTAGGGTTAGTGGTAGGGTTAGTGGTGGTGGTAGGGTTAGTGGTGGTGGTGGTAGGGTTAGTGGTGGTGGTAGTAGGGTTAGTGGTGGTGGTGGTGGTAGGGTTAGTGGTGGTGGTGGTAGGGTTAGTGGTGGTGGTGGTGGTAGGGTTAGTGGTAGGGTTAGTGGTGGTGGTAGGGTTAGTGGTGGTGGTAGGGTCAGTGGTGGTGGTAGGGTTAGTGGTGGTGGTGGTAGGGTTAGTGGTGGTGGTAGTAGGGTTAGTGGTGGTGGTGGTGGTAGGGTTAGTGGTGGTGGTGGTAGGGTTAGTGGTGGTGGTGATGGTAGGGTTAGTGGTGTTGGTGGTAGGGTTAGGGGTGGTGGTAGGGTTAGTGGTGGTGGTGGTAGGGTTAGTGGTGGTGGTGGTGGTGGTAGGGTTAGTGTTGGTGGTAGGGTTAGTGGTGGAGGTACGGTTAGTGTTGGTGGTAGGGTTAGTGGTGGTGGTAGGGTTAGTGGTGGTGGTGGTAGGTTTTAGGGGTGGTAGGGTTAGTGGTGGTGGTAGGGTTAGTGGTGGTGGTAGGGTTTGAGGTGGTGGTGGTGGTGGTAGGGTTAGTGGTGGTGGTGGGGTTAGTGGTGGTGGTAGGGTTAGTGGTGGTAGGGTCAGTGTTGGTGGTAGGGTTAGTGGTGGTGGTGGTAGGGTTAGTGGTGGTGGTAGGGTTAGTGGTGGTGGTGGTGGTACGGTTAGTGGTGGTGGTGGTAGGGTTAGTGGTGGTGGTGATGGTAGGGTTAGTGGTGGTGGTGATGGTAGGGTTAGTGGTGTTGGTGGTAGGGTTAGGGGTGGTGGTAGGGTTAGTGGTGGTGGTAGGGTTAGTGGTGGTGTTGGTGGTAGGGTTAGTGGTGGTAGTGGTGGTGGTAGGGTTAGTGGTGGTGGTGGTGGTAGGGTTAGTGGTGGTGGTAGGGTTAGTGGTGGTGGTAGGGTTAGTGGTGGTAGGGTTAGTGGTGGTGGTGGTAGGGTTAGTGGTGGTGGTAGGGTTGGTGGTGGTGGTAGGGTTAGTGTTGGTGGTAGGGTTAGTGGTGGTGTTGGTGGTAGGGTTAGTGGTGGTAGTGGTGGTGGTAGGGTTAGTGGTGGTGGTGGTAGGGTTAGGGGTGGTGGTGGTGGTGGTAGGGTTAGGGGTGGTGGTGGTAGGGTTAGTGGTGGTGGTGTTGGTAGGGTTAGTGGTGGTGGTAGGGTTAGTGGTGTTGGTGGTGGTAGGGTTAGTGGTGGTGGTAGGGTTAGTGGTGGTGGTGGTAGGGTTAGTGGTGGTGGTGGTAGGGTTAGTGGTGGTGATGGTGGTAGGGTTAGGGGTGGTGGTGGTGGTGGTGGTGGTGGTAGGGTTAGTGGTGGTGGTGGTAGGGTTAGTGTTAGTGGTGGTAGGGTTGGTGATGGTGGTAGGGTTGGTGGTGGTAGGGTTAGTGGTGGTGGTAGGTTTTAGGGGTGGTGGTGGTGGTAGGGTTAGTGGTGGTGGTAGGGTTTGAGGTGGTGGTGGTAGGGTTAGTGGTAGGGTTAGTGGTGGTGGTAGGGTTAGTGGTGGTGGTGGTGGTAGGGTTAGTGGTGGTGGTAGTAGGGTTAGTGGTGGTGGTGGTGGTAGGGTTAGTGGTGGTGGTGGTAGGGTTAGTGGTGGTGGTGGTAGGGTTAGTGGTAGGGTTAGTGGTGGTGGTAGGGTTAGTGGTGGTGGTAGGGTCAGTGGTGGTGGTAGGGTTAGTGGTGGTGGTGGTAGGGTTAGTGGTGGTGGTAGTAGGGTTAGTGGTGGTGGTGGTGGTAGGGTTAGTGGTGGTGGTGGTAGGGTTAGTGGTGGTGGTGATGGTAGGGTTAGTGGTGTTGGTGGTAGGGTTAGGGGTGGTGGTAGGGTTAGTGGTGGTGGTGGTAGGGTTAGTGGTGGTGGTGGTGGTGGTGGTAGGGTTAGTGTTGGTGGTAGGGTTAGTGGTGGAGGTACGGTTAGTGTTGGTGGTAGGGTTAGTGGTGGTGGTAGGGTTAGTGGTGGTGGTGGTAGGTTTTAGGGGTGGTAGGGTTAGTGGTGGTGGTAGGGTTAGTGGTGGTGGTAGGGTTTGAGGTGGTGGTGGTGGTGGTGGTTGGGTTAGTGGTGGTGGTGGGGTTAGTGGTGGTGGTAGGGTTAGTGGTGGTAGGGTCAGTGTTGGTGGTAGGGTTAGTGGTGGTGGTGGTAGGGTTAGTGGTGGTGGTAGGGTTAGTGGTGGTGGTGGTGGTGGTGGTACGGTTAGTGGTGGTGGTGGTAGGGTTAGTGGTGGTGGTGATGGTAGGGTTAGTGGTGGTGGTGATGGTAGGGTTAGTGGTGTTGGTGGTAGGGTTAGGGGTGGTGGTAGGGTTAGTGGTGGTGGTAGGGTTAGTGGTGGTGGTAGGGTTAGTGGTGGTGGTGGTGGTAGGGTTAGTGTTGGTGGTAGGGTTAGTGGTGGTGGAGGTAGGGTTAGTGTTGGTGGTAGGGTTAGTGGTGGTAGGGTTACTGGTGGTGGTGGTGGTGGTAGGGTTAGTGGTGGTGGTGGTGGAGGTAGGGTTAGTGTTGGTGGTAGGGTTAGTGGTGGTGGTGGTGATAGGGTTAGTGGTGGTGGTATGGTTAGTGGTGGTGGTGGTAGGGTTAGTGGTGGTGGTAGGGTTAGTGGTGGTGGTGGTGGTGGTAGGGTTAGTGTTGGTGGTAGGGTTAGTGGTGGTGGTAGGGTTAGTGGTGGTGGTGGTAGGGTTACTGGTGGTGGTGGTGGTGGTAGGGTTAGTGGTGGTGGTAGGGTTAGTGGTGGTGGTAGGGTTAGTGGTGGTGGTAGGGTTAGTGGTGGTAGGGTTACTGGTGGTGGTGGTGGTGGTAGGGTTAGGGGTGGTGATGGTAGGGTTAGGGGTGGTGATGGTAGGGTTAGTGGTGGTGGTAGGGTTAGTGGTGGTGGTAGGGTTAGTGTTGGTGGTGATGGTAGGGTTAGTGTTGGTGGTGGTAGGGTTAGTGGTGGTGGTGGTGGTGGTAGGGTTAGTGGTGGTGGTGGTAGGGTTAGTGGTGGTGGTAGGGTTAGTGGTGGTGGTGATGGTAGGGTTAGTGTTGGTGGTGTTAGTGGTGTTGGTGGTTGTGCTAGGTAACAGGGAGCGGCAGCGGCTGCGGTAGAAACGTTGAATCCAACCTCCACGCCGTGATGGCGACGCTCACCTTGTTCAGGATGTGTGCGTAGCGGAGCTCCGTCGCTCCCGGAGGGACGTCGGCATTGGGCGTGGGGATGACGCCTTTGCCTGTGACGTCATAGACGCTGACGTCATCACTGACATCATCACTGTCATCGTCGTCATCGACACTCACGAGTGACATCACCGTCAACAACGCTGACGTCATCGCCGACATCGTCATCAACACTCACGAGTGACATCACTGACAATCACTGACGTTGACGTCATCGCTGACGTCATCGACACTCACGAGTGACATCACTGACAATCACTGACGTTGACGTCATCGCTGACGTCATCGACACTCACGAGTGACATCACCGTCAACAACGCTGCTGACGTCATCACCGGCATCATCGTCATCAACACTCACGAGTGACATCACTGACAATCACTGATGTTGACGTCATCGCTGACGTCATCGACACGAGTGACATCACCGTCAACAACGCTGCTGACGTCATCACCGGCATCATCGTCATCGACACTCACGAGTGACATCACCGACATCACTGACAATCACTGACGTTGACATCATCGCTGACATCATCGTCGACACTCACGAGTGACATCACCGTCAACAACGCTGCTGACGTCATCACCGGCATCATCGACACTCATGAGTGACATCACCGACATCACTGACAATCACTGACGTTGACGTCATAGCTGACGTCATCGACACTCACGAGTGACATCACCGTCAACAACGCTGCTGACGTCATCACCGGCATCATCGTCATCAACACTCACGAGTGACATCACTGACGTTGACGTCATCGCTGACGTCATCGACACTCACGAGTGACATCACCGTCAACAACGCTGCTGACGTCATCACCGGCATCATCGTCATCGACACTCACGAGTGACATCACCGACATCACTGACAATCACTGACGTTGACATCATCACCGATTGTCACCGCACTACTCCCGACACCGACACCCGTCACACCGTCAGCGGCACGATCGCCAGGCCACCTTGAGCGAGGTTGGAGCGCAGGGTGATGGACACCACCTGGTCGATGGCGCTCACCCCTCGGTCCGTGCGTCCGCAGCGGTGGTAGTTGGCCGCCTGACGCGACTCGACGAGCCGCGTCTTGTCCAGCGCCTCGAACAGCTGCTCCTCTAGGACGCACGCACGCCGAGGGGACGCACGCGTGGGCCCGCAACGCTCGCTCACTCGCTCACTCGCTCGGTCGGTCACTCGCTCGCCCGCTCGCTCAGTCGCTCGCTCGCTCAGTCGCTCGCTCGGTCACTCGCTCGCTCGCTCGCTCAGTCGCTCGCTCGCTCAGTCGCTCGCTCGGTCACTCGCTCGCCCGCTCGCTCAGTCGCTCGCTCACTCACCCGCTCGGTCACTCGCTCGCCCGCTCGCTGGGTCACTCGCTCGCTCGGTCACTCGCTGGGTCACTCGCTCGGTCGGTCACTGGGTCACTCGCTCACCCGCTCGCTCGGTCACTCGCTCGCTCACTCACTCGCTCGGTCACTCGCTCGCCCACTCGCTGGGTCACTCGCTCGCTCGGTCACTCACTCACCCGCTCGGTCGGTCACTCGCTCACCCGCTCGCTAAGTCGCTCGCTCACCCGCTCGCTCGGTCACTCACTCACCCGCTCAGTCACTCACTCGCCCGCTCGCTGGGTCACTCGCTCACCCACTCAGTCACTCGCTCGCCCGCTCGCTGGGTCACTCACCCACTCACTCACCCGCTCAGTCACCCGCTCAGTCACTCGCTCGCTCGGCCACTCGCTCACAAAATCACCCACTCAGTAACTCGCTCAGTCAATCACTCACCCACTCGCTAAGTCAGTCACTCTCCCACTCGTTGGGTCACTCACCCTCTCGCTCAGTCACTCACTCACTCGCTCACAAACTCACCCACTCAGTAACTCGCTCACAAACTCACCCACTCAGTAACTCGCTCAATCAATCACTCACCCACTCGCCAAGTCAGTCACTCACTCGCTCGGTCACTCACCCTCTCGCTCGGTCACTCACTCACTCGCCCACTCACTCACCCGCTCAGTCAATCACTTATCCAATCGCTAAGTCAGTCACTCTCCCGCTCGCTCGGTCACTCACTCACTCACTCGCCCACTCACCCGCTAGGTCACTCGCTCGGTCACTCACTCACCCGCTCACTCACCCGCTCACTCACCCGCTCAGTCACTCGCTCGGTCACTCGCTCACCCGCTCACTCACCCGCTCAGTCACCCGCTCAGTCACTCGCTCGGTCACTCACCCACTCAGCCACCCGCTCGGTCACTGATTCACAAACTCACCCACCCACTCAGTCACTCGCTCAATCAGTCACTCTCCCACTCGCTCGGTCACTCACTCACTCACCTGCTCAGTCACTCGCTCAATCAGTCACTCTCCCACTCGCTCGGTCACTCACTCACTCACCCGCTCAGTCACTCGCTCACCCGCTCGGTCACTCACCCACTCACTCACCCGCTTAGTCACTCGCTCGCTCGCCCGCTCGGTCACTCACCCTCTCGCTCGGTCAGTCACTCACTCGCCCACTCACCCGCTCAGTCACTCGCTCACTCACCCGCTCAGTCACCCGCTCACTCACCCGCTCGGTCACTCACCCACTCACTCACCCGCTTAGTCACTCGCTCGCTCGGTCACTCACCCTCTCGCTCGGTCAGTCACTCACTCGCCCACTCACCCGCTCATTCACCCGCTCACTCACCCGCTCGGTCACTCACCCACTCACTCACCCGCTTAGTCACTCGCTCGCTCGGTCACTCACCCTCTCGCTCGGTCAGTCACTCACTCGCCCACTCACCCGCTCATTCACCCGCTCACTCACCCGCTCGGTCACTCACCCACTCAGCCACCCGCTCGGTCACTGACTCACAAACTCACCCACCCACTCAGTCACTCGCTCAATCAGTCACTCTCCCCCTCGCTCGGTCACTCACTCACTCGCTCAGTCACTCACCCGCTCAGTCACTCGCTCAATCAGTCACTCTCCCACTCGCTCACCCGCTCGGTCACTCACTCACTCACTCACCCGCTTAGTCACTTGCTCGCCCGCTCGGTCACTCACCCACTCACTCACCCGCTTAGTCACTCGCTCGCTCGCCCGCTCGGTCACTCACCCTCTCGCTCGGTCAGTCACTCACTCGCCCACTCACTCACTCGCCCACTCATCCGCTCAGTCACTTGCTCGGTCACTCGCTCACCCTCCCACCCGCCCGCCCACTCACCCGCTCAGTCACTCGCTCACCCTCCCACCCGCCCGCCCACTCACCCGCTCAGTCACTCGCTCGGTCACTCGCTCACCCTCCCACCCACCCGCCCACTCACCCACAGTGTTGCGAGTGTTGTCCTGGGCCGCGTACCCATGGTAGTCCCAGCCCAGGTAAGCGAGCTTGAGAAGCACGTGGCGCCGATTGTGCCTGGAGAAGTCAAACGGCCTCCGTGCCACCGCCGCTTTGCCACCCTCTCTGCCCTTGTTGCCTTTGCCAGCCTTGCCACCTTTGACTCCTCCTCCTCTGCCATCGCCACCGCCACCGCGATGACCACCATCGCCACCATCGCCACCGCCATCGCCACCGTGATGACCACCATCGCCACCACCATCGCCACCATCGCCACCGCCATCACCACCATGATGACCACCATCGCCACCACCATCGCCACCACCATCGCCACCACCATCGCCACCATCGCCACCGCCATCACCACCGTGATGACCACCATCGCCACCACCATCGCCACCACCGCCATCGCCACCGCGATGACCTCCGACTCCTCCATCCTTGCCGCCCCTTTCGTCAATGCCCCCTGCACCCACTGCTGCGTCTCCTCCTCCTCTGCCGTCACCACCACCTCCACCTCCTCTGCCACCACCAACACCACCTCCTCCTCTGCCGCCACCACCACCTCCTCCTCTGCCGCCACCACCACCTCCTCCTCTGCCACCACCAACACCTCCTCCTCCTCTGCCGTCACCACCTCCTCCTCTGCCACCACCACCAGCTCCTCCTCTGCCGTCACCACCACCTCCTCCTCCTCTGCCACCACCAACACCACCTCCTCCTCCTCTGCCACCACCACCACCTCCTCCTCTGCCACCACCATCACCTCCTCTGCCACCACCAACACCACCACCTCCTCCTCTGCTGCCGCCACCTCTGCCGTCACCGCCACCGCCCCCGTAGCCCGGCGGCCTCGACCTGGACGCCTCGCTCATGGCCGCCACCTTCCTCTTGAGCTCCTCGATTCTTGCGACGAGTTCGTCTTTGGACAGGCCCAGGAGCTTCTGTCTGGCGGCTGTAGATGGCGGCGGTGAAGATGATGATGATGATACGGTGGTGGGGCTATCACCGCCGCCACCACCACCACTCTCCCCGGCTCCGCTGACATTTGAGGGTGTCCAGTCCATCGCACAGCAGATTAGCGGGAGGGCAGAGCGGTTAAACGCTAGCGGGGAGCGGTTAAACGGTTGGGGAGAGCGGTTAAACGGGTGGAGAGAGCGGATAAACGGGTGGGGAGAGCGGATAAACGGGTGGGGAGAGCGGTTAAAGGGGTGGAGAGAGCGGATAAACGGGTGGGGAGAGCGGATAAACGGGTGGGGAGAGCGGTTAAAGGGGTGGAGAGAGCGGATAAACGGGTGGAGAGAGCGGATAAACAGCAGGGGAGAGCGGTTGAACGGGAGGCGCATGAATCGAGAGGCGAAACGCGATTAATCGGGCGGATAATCGATACTTTGTGTTTAGTTTAATATCCTTCCCCTGCGATTAGCGCGGTTGGATATGTACGGTACGAGGGAAGTTCAAGGTGCAGTACCTACACTACACTATACACTACACTATACACTACACACGTTACTATACACTACACACGTTACTATACACTACACACGTTACTATACACTACACGTTACTATACTATACACTACTACACTATACACTACTATACACTACACGTTACTATACACTACACTATACACTACACGTTACTATACTATACACTACTACACTATACACTACACGTTACTATACACTACGCTATACACTACAATACGTTATACTATACACTTCACACACTATACTGTACACTACTATATACTTCCAATATAATACACACTACTATACACCACACGCAACACTATACACTATACCACCTTAACTATACACTACTATATACTACACCACCTTAACTATACACTATACACTACACCACCTTAACTATACACTACACCACCTTAACTATACACTATACATTACACTATACCACCTTAACTATACACTATACACTACACTATACACTACTATACACTATACCACCTTAACTATACACTATACACTACACCACCTTAACTACACTACTATACACTACACCACCTTAACTATACACTACACTATACACTACACCACCTTAACTATACACTACTATACACTACACTATACACTACACCACCTTAACTATACACTACACTATACACTACTATACACTACGCTCTCCGTTTGGGGGCTGAGTCGACCTAGGGGATGCCCAGGAAGACCGGTTCAAAGGTAATCGCTGGTGGTGGTAGTGGTGTCCGCTACACGTTCACGCACACACTGAGCCAGAGTTTATTCAATGCCGAGTCGACCTACGCGTAGTGGTGGAAGACGGGAACCGGTTCAAATGCTCACCCACTCGTTGGGTGGTGGTGGTGGCGGTGATGATGAGAGTGGATGGTGGTGGTGACGCTGGTGGTGAGGGTGGTGGTGGTGAGGGTGGTGGTGGTGGTGTGGTGGTGATGAGAGTGGTTGGTGGTGGTGACGCTGGTTATGAGAGTGGTTGGTGGTGGTGACGCTGGTGGTGGTGGTGGCGGTGAGGATGGTGTGGTGGTGGTGGTGATGATGAGAGTGGTTGGTGGTGGTGACGCTGGTGATGAGTGTGGTGGTGAGGGTGGTGGTGGTGATGATGAGAGTGGATGGTGGTGGTGACGCTGGTGGTGACGCTGGTGGTGAGGGTGGTGGTGATAAGGGTGGTGTGGTGGTGGTGGTGGTGTGGTGATAAGAGTGGTGAGGTGGTGGTGGTGACGCTGGTGGTAGGGTGGTGGTGGTGGTGGTGATGATGAGAGTGGTTGGTGGTGGTGAGGGTGGTGGTGAGGGTGGTGTGGTGGTGATAAGGGTAGTGTGGTGGTGGTGGTGATGAGGGTGGTGGTGAGGGTGGTGAGGGTCCTGGTGATGTCTCGCGAACAGCACTTGCCCCAACAGTCTGTGAAGGCTACACGGAGTCAGGAGGAAGATCTTTTTTTTTTGCCTTCGCCGATGGCCGCGAGCGTGAATCAAACCGGGGTCGTCTTTCTGTCCTGCCGGCTTTGTAATCGTTGTAATAAATAACGCGCTAACCACTGCGCCCACCGCTCCTCCAACCACGCAGGCTTGTGAGTGGCGAGTGTGACGAGACACGTGGGTGGGTGGGAACACGTGGGTGGGGCACGTGGTCTCCTGCTCTGACCTTTAACCTCTCCTCCGGGTGAGCGGGGTAGCCCGTGACGTAAGGACGGACATCTTTGTAAGGGGTGATGGAAGTTCTAAACATCTTTGTAAGGGCTGATGGAAGTTCTAAACATCTTTGTAATTTGTGATGGAAGTTCTAAACATCTTTGTAAGGGCTGATGGAAGTTCTAAACATCTTTGTAAGGGGTGATGGAAGTTCTAAACATCTTTGTAAGGGCTGATGGAAGTTCTAAACATATTTGTAATTTGTGATGGAAGTTCTAAACATCTTTGTAAAGGGTGATGGAAGTTCTAAACATCTTTGTAAGGGGTGATGGAAGTTCTAAACATCTTTGTAAGGGCTGATGGAAGTTCTAAACATCTTTGTAAATTGTGATGGAAGTTCTAAACATCTTTGTAAGGGCTGATGGAAGTTCTAAACATCTTTGTAAGTTGTGATCTAAGTTCTAAACATCTTTGTAAATTGTGATGGAAGTTCTAAACATCTTTGTAAATTGTGATGGAAGTTCTAAACATCTTTGTAAGGGCTGATGGAAGTTCTAAACATCTTTGTAAGGGGTGATGGAAGTTCTAAACATCTTTGTAAGGGCTGATGGAAGTTCTAAACATCTTTGTAAATTGTGATGGAAGTTCTAAACATCTTTGTAAGGGCTGATGGAAGTTCTAAACATCTTTGTAAGTTGTGATCTAAGTTCTAAACATCTTTGTAAATTGTGATGGAAGTTCTAAACATCTTTGTAAATTGTGATGGAAGTTCTAAACATCTTTGTAAGGGCTGATGGAAGTTCTAAACATCTTTGTAAGGTGTGATGGAAGTTCTAAACATCTTTGTAAGTTGTGATGGAAGTTCTAAACGTCTTTGTAAGGGGTGATGGAAGTTCTAAACATCTTTGTAAGGGCTGATGGAAGTTCTAAACATCTTTGTAAGGGCTGATGCAAGTTCTAAACATCTTTGTAAGGGCTGATGCAAGTTCTAAACATCTTTGTAAGGGTTGATGGAAGTTCTAAACATCTTTGTAAGGGGTGATGGAAGTTCTAAACGTCTTTGTAAGGGCTGATGGAAGTTCTAAACATCTTTGTAAGTTGTGATGGAAGTTCTAAACATCTTTGTAAGGTGTGATGGAAGTTCTAAACATCTTTGTAAGTTGTGATGGAAGTTCTAAACATCTTTGTAAGGGCTGATGGAAGTTCTAAACATCTTTGTAAGTTGTGATAGAAGTTCTAAACATCTTTGTAAGGGGTGATGGAAGTTCTAAACGTCTTTGTAAGGGCTGATGGAAGTTCTAAACATCTTTGTAAGGGCTGATGGAAGTTCTAAACATCTTTGTAATTTGTGATGGAAGTTCTAAACATCTTTGTAAGTTGTGATGGAAGTTCTAAACATCTTTGTAAGGAGTGATGGAAGTTCTAAACATCTTTGTAAGAGCTGATGGAAGTTCTAAACATCTTTGTAAGTTGTGATGGAAGTTCTAAACATCTTTGTAAGGGGTGATGGAAGTTCTAAACATCTTTGTAAGGGCTGATGGAAGTTCTAAACATCTTTGTAAGTTGTGATGGAAGTTCTAAACATCTTTGTAAGTTGTGATGGAAAGTTCTAAACATCTTTGTAAGTTGTGATGGAAGTTCTATACATCTTTGTAAGTTGTGATGGAAGTTCTAAACATCTTTGTAAGTTGTGATGGAAGTTCTAAACATCTTTGTAAATTGTGATGGAAGTTCTAAACATCTTTGTAAGTTGTGATGGAAGTTCTAAACATCTTTGTAAGGGGTGATGGAAGTTCTAAACATCTTTGTAAGTTGTGATGCAAGTTCTAAACATCTTTGTAAGTTGTGATGGAAGTTCTAAACATCTTTGTAAGGGCTGATGGAAGTTCTAAACATCTTTGTAAGGAGTGATGGAAGTTCTAAACATCTTTGTAAGGGCTGATGGAAGTTCTAAACATCTTTGTAAGGGCTGATGGAAGTTCTAAACATCTTTGTAAGTTGTGATGGAAGTTCTAAACATCTTTGTAAGTTGTGATGGAAGTTCTAAACATCTTTGTAAGGTGTGATGGAAGTTCTAAACATCTTTGTAAGTTGTGATGGAAGTTCTAAACATCTTTGTAAGGGGTGATGGAAGTTCTAAACATCTTTGTAAGTTGTGATGGAAGTTCTAAACATCTTTGTAAGGGGTGATGGAAGTTCTAAAACATCTTTGTAAGGAGTGATGGAAGTTCTAAACATCTTTGTAAGGGGTGATGGAAGTTCTAAACATCTTTTGTAAGGTGTGATGGAAGTTCTAAACATCTTTGTAAGTTGTGATGGAAGTTCTAAACATCTTTGTAAGGGGTGATGTAAGTTCTAAACATCTTTGTAAGGGCTGATGGAAGTTCTAAACATCTTTGTAAGTTGTGATGGAAGTTCTGAACATCTTTGTAAGGAGTGATGGAAGTTCTAAACATCTTTGTAAGGGCTGATGGAAGTTCTAAACATCTTTGTAAGGAGTGATGGAAGTTCTAAACGTCTTTGTAAGGAGTGATGGAAGTTCTAAACGTCTTTGTAAGTTGTGATGGAAGTTCTAAACATCTTTGTAAGTTGTGATGGAAGTTCTAAACATCTTTGTAATTTGTGATGGAAGTTCTAAACATCTTTGTAAGTTGTGATGGAAGTTCTAAACATCTTTGTAAGGGCTGATGGAAGTTCTAAACATCTTTGTAAGGGGTGATGGAAGTTCTAAACATCTTTGTAAGGGCTGATGGAAGTTCTAAACATATTTGTAATTTGTGATGGAAGTTCTAAACATCTTTGTAAAGGGTGATGGAAGTTCTAAACATCTTTGTAAGGGGTGATGGAAGTTCTAAACATCTTTGTAAGGGCTGATGGAAGTTCTAAACATCTTTGTAAATTGTGATGGAAGTTCTAAACATCTTTGTAAGGGCTGATGGAAGTTCTAAACATCTTTGTAAGTTGTGATCTAAGTTCTAAACATCTTTGTAAGTTGTGATGGAAGTTCTAAACATCTTTGTAAGTTGTGATGGAAGTTCTAAACATCTTTGTAAGGGCTGATGGAAGTTCTAAACATCTTTGTAAGGTGTGATGGAAGTTCTAAACATCTTTGTAAGTTGTGATGGAAGTTCTAAACGTCTTTGTAAGGGGTGATGGAAGTTCTAAACATCTTTGTAAGGGCTGATGGAAGTTCTAAACATCTTTGTAAGGGCTGATGCAAGTTCTAAACATCTTTGTAAGGGCTGATGCAAGTTCTAAACATCTTTGTAAGGGTTGATGGAAGTTCTAAACATCTTTGTAAGGGGTGATGGAAGTTCTAAACGTCTTTGTAAGGGCTGATGGAAGTTCTAAACATCTTTGTAAGTTGTGATGGAAGTTCTAAACATC